AAAAAAAAAAAAAAAAAAAAAGAAAAGAAAAGGTTTGATTTCAGTCACTAATTTCTTAAGTAGAAAAATAGTTCGGAGCTGGGTGTGGTGTGTGCCTGTCGTCCCAGCACTTGGGTGGTAGAAGCAAGAGGTAGTTCAAGGCTGCAAGGCTCCTTAGACAAGGAAGAACTTATTTGGGGCTTATGGTTCCAGAGGGAGAAGAGTCTACCGCCATCGAGGCAGGGAAGCATGGCTGCAGGCGGGCATGGCCACCGGAGCAGCTAGCTCCCATCCTGAACCACAAGCAGAGACAGAGGGAACAAGTTGGGAATGACATGTGGCTCTTGAAACCTCAGAGTCCACCCCTAGCGACACGTTCTCCATCAAGGCCACATCTCCCCAAGCCTCTCCAAATGCAGCCATCAAATGGGTACTAAATATTCAAGTTTGAGAGACTGGAGACAGTCATTCAAACCACCACAGTGGTGGTGATACTCTGTCTCAGAGAATGAGCAAGATTAAAAAAAAAAACCCTTTTGATTATACTGAGGTATAGTCATTGAGCCTTTGTATATGAATGCATGCATTCTTTTTCCTGACAGGCTTGTGGTTTCTGGTTACTTAAATTCCCATTTTGAGTTTGGAAGTAAGCATTTTTTATATTTTGTAGGATTGCTTTAGAATTTTTGGATGTAAGAGCCTTCTGTTCAAACATTCCTCACTTAAAAGGAAAATCTGCTATGAAAAAACGACATCTGGAAATTTTGGGCTATCGTGTTATTCAGGTATGGAACAGTCATCTAATTCATCCTCTAAACAGGCATGGTGGAGTGGGTAGGGCCAGGCGTATCTGTGATCCCAGAGATGGGTGGTCGGCTGGAGGCTTTCTTCATTTTTTAGCACAAAACAACAACTACAAATACTGGGTGACAGATCATGTACACACTCTTAGCTCATAACCTTAGAGACAGATAAAATAATTTCTGCATTTGATAACATTTTATAAGTCTCTGAAGCTATCATTAGAAACCTTATATATGCCCTTATATTAAAAGGAGTTGGGCTGGGCGACGGTGGCGCTCGCCTTTAATCCCAGCACTCGGGAGGCAGAGGCAGGCGGATCTCTGTGAGTTCGAGACCAGCCTGGTCTACAGAGCTAGTTCCAGGACAGGCTCCAAAGCCACGGAGAAACCCTGTATCGAAAAACCAAAATAAAAAAAAAATAAAAGGAGTTGGCTCTGCCCATCATGGGAGAGCTCTCTTCCCCTACCCCATACTAAGGAGAGATGAGATGGTCCCACCCCTCACCACTGCCGTGGGAGAGCTGGCCCTAATGGCAATGGCATGGGTGTAGGGAAGCTGGCTCCACCCCTCACCTAAGGTTGGTGGCTCCAGTGCCCCCAACTGACCAGCTCAGCTACCACCCAGGACCTGGAGTGCATGAAGGGACTGGTCCTGCAGAATGATAGCCACAGAATCTCCGTGACTGGGGCGACAGCAGGATATCTGAGAGGTGTTTTGGTGAGGGTCCAGTGATGATGGCTTACCAGAGGCCAGAGGCCTTGGACCTGCCCAAGGACTCATTGCAATGAACATTTGTGGGTGGGGCTAATTGGACAAAAGGGTCTACAGTGTGACACACCACAGCTCCCAGTGCCACTAGGACAGATGAAGAGGTGTTGGAGACGCAGGAGAATTGGAGGAGTGAGGTAGTTTTTGTTCATATTGTTTTGTTTTGCTTTTAATTAATGGGGGTGGGGGGTGGTTCTTTTGTGGAGGATGCTGCAGATATGGAAGGACTGGGAGGAGAGCCATTTGGGTTCATGATGTGAAATTCCCAAAGAATCAATAAAGAAATAGATTATAAAAATAATTTCTACATTTTATAAATCTCTGAAGCTATCATTAGAAAGCTTATATAACCCCTCACTAGACCAATAATTGGGAGATCTACCTAATGGTGGGGAAGTCAAATTGAAAACACTAGTAGTTGCTTTACAACCTGTATTCAAACGAACGGCTTACTTTGCAGGTCCCTTACTTTGACTGGAACTCTATGGCACTGTCCACACAGGATGCGAGGATGGACTACCTGAGACAACATATATTTGGAGCAGGCAAATCCTGATTGAGTTTCCATTTAAAATGACCATGGCATACCACGTCTCTATTTTCTTTACTTAAGTGGTCTGACTCAATTAAACAATGCTAAGTGCAAATATTCTGAGTTGGGAACACACCTGATGTGCTTGAGATCAACGAGCTCAGCTGTGGTTAGAGCAGATCAAGCAGGAAGTGGTTGGGAGTAAAAAGTCAGAGGAGACAGTCAGCAGCATAGGACTTCATGGCTCCCCCCGGGGTGAGATGAGAAGCCAGTGCAAAACTTTAAGCAAGGAATGCTAATAACAGACACAGTTCGTATTTTTAAAGTATCTTAAGTAGTCCTGGCTGGTCTTAACCTTGTGGCAGTCTTCCTGCCTCTGCTTCTTGAGTGCTGGGATTACAGGTATGTGCCGTCAAGTGCAGCTAAGAACTCTTTTCATAAGTGAGTTAATCCCAATGCTCTGCAGGGAAAGGCAGGAAGTCTGCTGTGGGTTCGAGGCCAGCTTGTGGGACATAGTGAGTTCCAGGCCAGCCTAGGCCACAGTGTGTCCAGACACACACTCAGGTAAAACACCCATACACATAAAAATTTAAAAGGGGTCGGGGTGAGGCCATTTGGATTTGATTAGACACTTTGCCTTCAGATGAAACTCATTTATTATTTTTCTTAAACAGCATTTCCAGTCATCTTCGTTACAATGCACAAGATCCCCATCATAGCTCACAACGTGAGGAAAGGGTTCTGTTACTCAAACATTTCTTGAGAATGTAGACATATGCATTTCATTGACAATAGAAAACGAGTGTAAATGTACCTTAAGAATACAAAGGCTTAGTAAACAGCTCAGATTTAGAAAGCCCACATCTTTGAGTAAAGTTTAACAAAAGTACATTGTTCAGCTGAACACTAAAGCTCTCAGCAAACGGTTCTAGACTCGGCGTTGGAACAAGCTCACGGTGACTCCGAGATCTGGCTACACTGTCAACCTCAAAGACTCTACATGAATCATTGTACAGGCTTAAAGAAAGACAGTAAATTATAGGCTTCTTGTCCCAACAAGCCACTTCTCAAACGGTTATTGTTGTCACCTTGTTTATAGTTTAGACAGTTTGAACAGATTTAAGCGTGTTGCTAGGCAACTAGCTCCCGAAGCATAACGTATTTCCTTCAACATCCCAGCCCATTCTTTTTTATCATCTTCATACCTGATGGAAGAAAAAAAAAAAAAACAAAGAAACAATAAGCAGCCTTTAATGAAAGCAGTTTGTAAATTTCTTTGTACTCAGTATAAATCTGGGGTCTCGAGGGCGGGGGGGGGGGGGACCCCACTGCCTCCTGCCAGACAAGGAGCCTCTCCTGGTAACAGTTGAATCCCTTTCAATGTATGCACCTGTGAGTGAGCATATACCTGCACCAATGGCCATTGTATTGGAATCGGACCGCCCAGAAAAATTCATGGACAGATGACCCACTGAACTATGGTCTCCAGATGGAACTTATGCGCCTGTGACCTCTGGGATATACCTTGTTTTCCATTAAATGTTTACTGGATCTGACACTGTGGTCAAAGTGTTCCCTGCCCTTTAGAAAGCATTCTTTGACTAAAATAGTTCAGTTGAGCCAGGCGGTGGTGGCGCACGCCTTTAATCCCAGCACTCGGGAGGCAGAGGCAGGCGGATCTCTGGGAGTTCGAGGCCAGCCTGGTCTACAAAGGGAGTTCCAGGACAGGCTCCAAAGCTACAGAGAAACCCTGTCTCGAAAACAAAAAACAAACAAAAAAAAATAGTTCAGTTGAGTAGCCACCGCATACTTAGGAGAATGGCCTAGCAGCTGTCTGGGTGGTAAAATGGATAGCTACTCTCACCTTTTTCTTATTAAATAATCATTTGCTATCTGAATCATCAAACAATTAGAAGAATAAATTAGATTTAATTAACTCATGAAAAACTGAATAGGTAAACATTTCTTAAGTACTGTTTCTTTTTAAAAATAATTTAAAAGTTATTATATTTTTAATGTCCATTGGTGTTTTGCCTGCATGTGTGTCTGTGTGAGGGTATTAGATCCCCTGGTACTGGAGTTACAGACAGTTGTGAGTGCTGGGAATCAAACCCGGGTCCTCTGGAAGAGCAGCCAGTGCTCTTAACTGCTGAGCGATCTCTCCAGCCTCAAATGCTGTGTTTTCTTAGGAAATGAACTACTCTAAAGGAAAACAAGACATTCTGCCTTAACGAGTCACTCTTAAAGCTAGAATTGGGCAGAAAAACTCAGCTGTCCTAACTCATTTTAACAAAGAAACCTGCCTAGGACTGGAGAGATGACTTAGCAGTTAAGAGCACTGGCTGTTCTTCCAGGGGACCCAGGTTTGATTCCCAGTACCCACATGGTGGTTCACAGTTGATAGTAACTCTAGCTCCAGGGGACCCAGTGCCCTCTTCTGACCTCCAAATAAATCAGACATACACATATGCAAAACACCATATATAAAATAACATTTTTTTAAAAAAAATAACAACAACACCAACCAAGAAGGTATTCTGGATGAGTTCTTTCCTTAATCTCACAGCTAACCAGTCACAAGTAGTACTTGATCAATAAGTGGCATATTCAAAAGTTCAGTTAGGCTTGAAGTGTAGAGTTTACCACTGGGAAGGGGCATGATGGGAAAATCTGGCTTATTTACTGCACACTTGCTTCCGAGTTACCTGGCTTAATACTTGGTTCAAAGCATTAGACTGAGGAAAACTTACTTCCATATGTCGTTGACTTCAGTGGGTGCAAACTCTTTCGATTCCAGTTGGATCATTGCAAAACCGCCGATGGCATACAGGGATCCGGCCAGGCTGACCAGACTGATGGAGCTTCTTTCTTGGGGAAATTCCGTCATCACTTCCCATCTAGGTGTTTCATTGAAAATGCAGTCAACACAAAATGCACAGAAACACACCATTTTGGTGTAATTTTGTTCTTTTTAAAGGATTGTGTGTTCTCACACATGCACATGTGTGTATACATACATCTATAAATAGGTCTAAAACTAAAACCACAGAGGGTTTATAGTTTTGTCTGCAGGTTTACACTTTTTTATTTAGACAGGGTTTCACTATGTAGCTCTGGACTGGAATTCAAGAGATCTGACTGCCCCGCCTCCCAAGCACTGCCAATCAGAGGTGTGGCCTACAGAGTCCAGTAGCATTAAGCTTTTTGTATTAGAGCATTTACCTCTATTCTCCAATCTTCAAGGACATCATTTTTAATTATCATTTAAATCTAACTCCATGAAAATCCTTTGTGATTTGCAGATATCAAAATTATTTTGTAATTATATATATTTGGTTTCTTAAGAAAGTAATAACACTGCTCTAATTTTTCTCAACACTATTATAGGAATTTCAACATATGTATTCATCTAGTTTGTGTGAGCTCAAAAATTTAGGAAGATTATTTTTATATAAAAATAGCAGTCAAGTCGTTGGTAGTGGTACAGGTCTTTAATCCTAGCACTCGGAAGGTAGAAGTAGGTGGATCTCTGTGAGTTCGAGGCCAGCCTGGCCTACAGAGCAAGTTCCAGGACAGTTAGGGCTACACAGAGAAACCCTGTCTTAAAAATAAATTAATTAATTAATTAAATTGAACTAAAAAACCCAAAAATCACTCAAGTATTTTTTCACATTAATTCAATAAAAACTTAAAAGTAAAATTAAGAAACTTATAAAGCACTCATAGTTTATGAGTGTTAGTTGTCAACAATAGAAAACATTTTAAATTTTTTGCTTGGTTTTTTTTTAAGACAGGGTTTCTCTGTGTAATCCCTGCTGTCCTGAACTCATTCTGTAGAACATGCAGGCCTCTATCTCAGAGATCTGCCTGCCTCTGCCTCCCAAGTGCTGGGGCTAAAGACTACCACCACCTCGCCAAAAATATCTTTTAATCTTTTTCTTATCTTTTTGAAACAGGGTTTCTCTGTAGCATTGGAGCCTGTCCTGAAACTCACTCTGTAGACCAGGCTGGCCTTGAAGTTACCAAGATCTGCCTGTCTCTGCCTCCTGAGTGCTGGGACTAAAGGCATGCACCACCACTGCCCTGCAATATCCTTTAACTTTTAAACTACGTGTTCCTCATTAATTCTTTTAAGACACGTGTACCCATCTTTGTTCATACAACTTTTCCGAGAAAAATAATGCCTTAGTGAAATGACTGACTGAGTAAGATTAGCCCAGAGTCAGGCAAATAGTATATCAACACTAACTCATGACTCCTGCATTTCAAATGACAAACACACGGTGTGGGGAGTTGGAAATACTTTCTCTTAACCTAAGGTTCTTGGCTCCCCCACCTCCCATGCCTTAGAAGGCGTAACTGCCACCCAAATGTGACAGCTAAATGGACAGGACTCGTTTGCACAGCAGAGCAGCTCACTTGTTGGTCTTGAGGTCGAAAGCTTCAACTGAAGCAGAGAGACCGTCCTCGGTGACACCCCCTGCGATTACAATTTTGCCTTTATGGATTGCCACTCCAAACATGGAACGAGGGGTCTTCATCGGAGCCAGATCTTTCCAGTCTCCCTTTTTGGGGTTGTAGATAAACATTCTATTTGTACACTTTCTGTGAACAGAAAAAGACAACAATGTTCCTTTTAGAATCTCTTTTTGGTGAAAGTACAAATCTACATTACTGTGGACGATTTTGCTAATGGATATACTTCAACACCATGCTAAAGAGTATGTTGAAGCTGGGTGGTGGTGGTGCACAACTTTAATCCTTGCACACAGGAGGCAGAGGCAGGTGGATCTTGAGTTCAAGGCCAGCCTGGTCTACAGAGCTAGTTCCAGGAGAGCCAATACTACCCAGAGAAATCCTAGAAGAATACATTGGATATTTTTTAGCAGTTGGGGCTGGAGAGATGGCTCAGCAGCACCCGCCTCTTCAGCCTGATGACCTGAGTTCAGTCCCCAGATCTCACCTAGTGGAAGGAGAACCAGCTCATCAAAGTTGCCTTCTGACCTCCACAGGTGTGCTGTGGGAAGCGCACCCTCCACATTCTACAGATACAGGTAATGTTTTCTACTTAGGCTTAATTGAATAAGAGAGCCTATTGGTCTCAGTGTAGTACAATAGTTCTAAAGCAGCTAAATAAAGGACTGACTGTGTTCTTGGATAGCGACTAAATAAAAGACTGACTGTGCTCCTGGATGCTGCTTTTCTCCTGTTAGGATGCTTATGGTTGAGGTATTGTGCCCATCTGGCAGCGTGCAACATTCCTATCTATTTGGTCTAGTGACTTTAAAACGTCATTTTTGTTTTAAAAAATAATTACATTTTCCTCTAATAATGTCAAAACTATATTTGCAATTTTTACCTGCAAAATATGACATGAGAGTCAAGTCCCACTTCAATACGTAGTTTAAAAACAAACACAAACAAAGGCAGAAGCTCTTTCAGCACTCACTCGGATGTCAATCAGAAGGAAACCGTGGGCACTTACTTGTCGTCTGTCTTTCCGCCTAGACAGTAGATCATCCCGTTATGGGAAATCACATTATGGCCATAAACTTTAATAGGAAGATTTTTCACTTCACTCCATTTTGCAGCCCTAAAATCAGATGACAATACAATTTATGTTCCAGCTTGTGAAAATATGAGCTTGTTGTCAGCATGCTTAGGGAACAGGAACAGGCTAGGAGTATTATGTCAACTTACGCAGGATCATAGCATAGGACGGAGTCTAACGAAGCTTCTGTTTGGAGGTCTTTGCCAGCAACCACGTAGATTTTGTCGTCCACCTCTCCCAAACCAAAGAGACACCTGGCTGATGGTAGAGGAGGAAGTCCGACCCACTCAGATGTTATGCTATCAAGCTGAAGAAAAGATGAGTTATGGAGATTGGTAACTAAAAATAACACAATATTTCATGGAGTGTTGAAAATTTACAGAGACGGTCTAAGGTCTTGTAAAACTACAATCCCAAAGTATCATACTTTACCTTAAAATTACTAAAAAAAAAATGAGAAAATCTACTTGGCCTATGAAAAAATACTGCCTCCCCCCAATTAAAAAAAAAACAAACAAGACATCAAGAAAGGAAAGACGATACAACAGAATTGCTAGGTTAGCTAGAAATCTGAGTCTCATGTTAAATTTTCTTCTGAAGTTGCCCTGTTCAGGTTTGGAAAAAGGAATCTTAATGCTTTGGGGAGACTGGGAAAGACGTGTCTGTGGCAGGGGTCACAGTATGCGGATGACCCCTGGTTGCTATATTTAACACACTCCCACAGCCAGCACCCGCGACAGCTGGACTTGTCGCTCAGTCTTCAGACAACTGAGAATCTGGGCAATATCTTTTCTGTCTTTTAAACATGGCTAGGTTCCCTGTTTTATTATTTTTGATACAGAAAAATACACATTTCAATACCCCCATTTTGGGTGAAGCCACCTTAAATGGCCTGTTTCTGGTTTATGCTGAGAAGTAACCTGGCTTGTCACCAGCCCTGCGATGGTCCCAATAGTGCCGCGTTCTGGTGATTCTGGCCTGGCTGGCTTTCATTTTGGTATTTACTTTCTAAACCCCTGACATACTCCCTTTTGTGTTTTAGGGCAACACCACCAAGGAACTCCTTCTGCGCTCCGTGTGGCACTTGCAGGTAGCAGAAAGAGAAGGCATCAGATTCACTGCAGACTTCATGTAGGCAGGAATGGGGAAGACTGTGGTAGTGATGGCAGTGACGTGGCATCTGAGGAAGTCTTTTTGTTTCTGGTCTAATCGTGCCAGTCAAACTACGCACCGAGAGCAAATGACATGCCGTGACGTGGGTTTAATCCCTGTGTGCACCGTGCTGGCTTCGCAGTCACTCACTGCAGCATCCTAGATTGTGATTATATGGTGTTTAACTTCTTGGAAAAAAAAAACCTCTGGTCAAGAAGGTATCATGGGGCTCAGAGTACATCACTCAGCAGGGTGGAGATTCCATGTGCAAGAGCCTGGGTTTGATTGCTAGCCCAGCCACGGATGGGGTGGGGCAAGTACTGTGGCACAGAGTGGAAATCGCAGCAAGCATTTATGGGAGTCTGCCTGTGAGAGTTCTGTACACAGTGCTCAGACAGAAAATCTCATTTGGTCTTCCAGGATAGGCGTTTTCTCGTCTGTTATTACAGGTGAGAGGAAACAGCCACAGAGAGATTAAATCACTTGCCCAACTTCACATGGCTTTTTTTTAAATACCACGTTGTCTAAATATACAGTTGTTTTGTTGTCTGTTTGAGACTGGGTGTCATTATTAAGCTTGGGTACTGTTTTTTTTTAATGGATCAACAGCTATCACAGTTCTAAACCCGAGGGCCTAGTTCCCATACAGACTCTGCAGAACACCCCCTCCCCCCGCCCCCTGTCATCTCTTCTCCTGGGAACACTTTCTCTAGCAGATGATCGGCAGGTTGCCAGCCCCTTCAGTGTGGATGAGCTCCCAAGCTCTTTAACCCTTCTGCATCCCACTTTCCTCATTGTTAAAATTAGGGTTTATACCTAGACTATCTCAAAGCTTAGTGCAGTCTAGGACTATGTGGATCTGTTAATCCAATGGAGGGGGAAACAAACCTTAGTAAGGCCCCAAATTCCAGTCTATTTGCAGCATATACCAAATAGCAATTTACTCTGAACTTAGCACACTTCACACGGGCAGCCAAGCAGAAAAACACGAAACCTGAGATTCTCATACAAGGCTCTTGCGTATGGCTTTAATTCAGGCATCTTGTTCCAGGTTTGTGGCTTTTAGAAGTGACAAGGGGGTCGCCCTTCCAACTCTGTACAACTGTTTCAGTGGCTTGTGCTGAGATGGGTAACCTCACTTGAAATCAGAAGCACAATAAAGGTAAAAGGAAGTAATAGGATGGAGAGAATAAAGGTTACAATGAGTACTCGAAAGTCAGGAGAATGTGGGCTCTGGGTATATTTTCAAAAGGTGAGTGTGTGTGTGTGTGTGTGTGTGTGTGTGTGTGTGTGTGTGTGCAAACTCTAACAATGAGCTAGGTCCTCAGCCTTATAATCAATATAGTAATATGGAGTGGAACAAAGCCTGCGGGAGTGTTGGAGGATTATTCTCTGCTGTATTTGTCCCTTGAATCTATATATAGATTTATCTATATATAATTATATACCAGTCTGTCTGCCTACCGATCCATTCAAATACGTTTGCTGGTGTCTTTCGCTGGAACTTAGACAATTAAGAAACATGATTAATATACATTATTACTCCATTTTGTTGAGATTAGATGACTTGGCAAAAGGCAGGGATTTGTGAAAACGTATGGCGTGTACTTTGAGAGCACTCGATGACTGTGGTTTGATATTCCACACTTGCTTATCTCTGGCCTTTCCACCCTAGGCCACGATTAGCTATGACCTAAACAGATTCTTACTGCGCTAACCACAAGCTATGAAGTATTGATACTGGCAATACTGGAAGTGCACATGAAGTCACCGAGTGAGTCAGAAGCTGCTGGGACAGCCTACTGTTGTTATAAAACAAATTGTCCCCAAATAAACTAGAGAGAGTCAGTTAGATGAGGAAGATTTGCTTTCCTGGAAGTTTTATGGTTACACTAAACGGATGATGAAGTTATAATAATACCTACCTCTAATTCTGATCAAATAAAGGTAATATCATGAACAATACCTTCTAAATGCAGTTCAAACAGAGATACTTGTGGAGGCAGGTTATTTTCCCTCATACAGCTCAAAGTGTACAGAATATGTACGAGGCCTTTTTCATTGACATATTTTATACAGTAACAATAGTAAGATATGAATGTTGCTTCCCCAAACACCCTGTTAAGGGGGGAAAGTACAAAAGCAGACCAATTCCCACTTCTTGCAGCGTGCCAGGCACGTTGGTAAAGGCGAATAACTTTGTTTGGAAAAGATCCTAACCTATTTGCTAGGCAATAGTGTTAAATATGATAAATTCAGTCTCTACTAAAATACAGAGCTTTGAAGAATTACAATTATCAGAGGTTGTACAGCATTTGGAATCAAAGAATGGAAGGAAAATCCCGAGTCGTGAGTTCCATGTGAGGACTTCCTTTCCTGTACCTTTCACTAAATATTAAGTCAAATTGAGTATTTCTGCCAGAACTCTGCAAGTATCAAAGTGTATGAGGGCACAGGAGGAGAACGATTTGAGCAATATGTAAGCAGCCCCTAAATTCACTAACTGGCTAATACATGGTGAATAACAGCCTTGGTTTCCATACCTGGAAGAAGTACGACTGTAGGGGCTGATCCTTGTTTTCTTCATCCACGTACAGCCCTCCGACCACGTAGATCTGATTCTGTTGGGTAACGATACTGGAATGGTTTCTGGGGATCTGCTCTGCTAAGGCGGTAAGGTAACACTCGTTTTCCAAGGGGTCGTAAGCCACTGCAGCTGTGTCATTGACCAAGAGGATGAGATCTTTAACGAACATCCCATGTCTGGGAATATCATTGAGGTAACCAGGAAGTAAGTCTTCATCCCCGACATCACCGTTCACCTCGCCGCCCCCTGCCTTCTCTGCGTTTTTGCTAGGTTCCGGGAGTTTGCCTGCAAAAGCATCTTTTAGAACCTTGATTTTCTTCTGGATTTCGGGGTTGCTTTTAATTATGTCATCTTTCTCGACGTGATCTTTGAAGTATTTTTCTGCCATGAGGCGGAAACGAATACAATCAAACACCTCGCTAAGGCTTTTCGCCCTGTTTTCTTTGTCTGTCCGCACCCATTTCATCACGGCCTCAAACACCACTTCCTCCTTTTCTACGTTGAGACCATGATTTGAAATGACCGAGATCAGCTCCTGCGGAGACAGCTGCATGAAGTCTTCTTCCTTACAAATCTGCACAAAGCGATCTGAGACAAAGTCCCGGGCAGAAATGGCGAGTCTTGGGCAGTCAAGGAGAAGACCCAATCTTAGGATGGCCAGACAGTTACCGGGAGCCAGCCGTTTCTGAAGGTAAGACACACAGACGGTGAAGACTGAGGGGATCTGGAAGCGGCTGGACAGGGCGAAGATGTCTTGCACGTTTGCGTCATTGAGATCGATACTGGCAGAGTACAGGTATTTGATGATCAAATCAAGGATAGCAGGATCCACGTTATCTAGCGTGACCTCCTTTTTTTTCTCCTCCTCAATCTCAGATAAGAAATACTCGCGGAAGTAAGGACTGCAAGCCGACAATATCAGTCTGTGGCAAGGAAGACTTCTGTCGCCTGCTTTGAGGGTGCAATCGATGAATTTTTTCTCTTCCAGGAGATCTTTTAGACCATCCTGAAGAAGGGTGGACTGGTAAAGCCGGAGTTCCTCTGCAAGCTCCCGCTGGGAATCCATTCTGTGAGGAACCTGGGTAAGGAAGGGGACACTGAGGGTCTTCGCTCCTTGCTGCACACGGGTCTAGCTGTAAAAAGACAGATCAGTCTACTCCGCGCAGCCTGGAGCCTTTGCAATTTAATCCCACCGGCTAAATATAGACACCAGCTCTAACGACGAGAATTTAAGAGAGCTGGCTTGGAACGGAGAGTTGTTCAGCTGTCTGAGATTGAAAGTAACAACTGGAACTTCTGGTCACCAAGGAAACCGCTAAGAAACAAGACATTCAGGTGAGGTGGAAAACTTTGAAATGTAGAAAGCCTTGGAACGTCAAGTTAAAGGGCATCCACAAGAAAATGCTTACTGAACTAACAGAAAAACGGATCATAAAAATGAGTCACGCCTCTAAAAATGGCCTAGTGGCAAGCCACTTGGCTTGAATTAGTGATGCCAAGGTCAAGACTATGAGGTGAGTTCATTTCAATTCTCATAAGCTATGAGTCCAGTGGTTTACAATGTTAAAGCGCAAACTGGTAGTTTCTACGCAAAGCAGATAGGATTATCTTTTTCAAGTAGGAAGCGTAAAGTTGTTTATATACCTAATAGTTTTATATAACCTTTTAAATGGCACCTCCATCATGACTGAAATAACAAATGCAGAGAAAATTTACTAAAATATTCTAAATTATCTTTATTTTTTAGGTAGGAAAACTGTAATTACTGCTGAATTACCAAATTCATTCACACTCTGTCTTGCCATACAGGGGATATAAAGTGATAAACAATAATACAAAAAAGTAAGATAAAGACAAGTTTGAAAGGAATCAAGACCAGAGAGAAATAGTTAAGCCTTTGGGAAAGAAAAGACCCACACACTTAAGAATATTTTGTAACTTTTAAGTGCTAAAAAGAACCTTCCATGAAATAAAAAGTTAAAAAAATAGAACAGCTGCAACCCTATGAGAAAAATGCTGTCCCTAGAGACACAAAGTCACCGTGAGCTACTGCACCATCCATGTCACTTAGAAAGCAGGCCTTGTTTAAGAAAACATGTTACCGGAGTCACACTTTATGGTGCTGATGGGAGTGGAACACCTTATGGAACGGAGATTTAAAGAGCCCAGCCAGGCCTCGTGGCACAAACCTGTCATACCAGCATCTGTGAGGTGGAGGTAGGAAAATTATCAACTACAGTGAGTTCAAGGCCAGCCTGGGCTGTGTGAGACCCTGTCACTTCTCCCACCCCATTTCTATCGAGATATTATAAATTTCTTCATGAAGTCCTTTATTATACAATCATGATCACGTTCTACACTCAGTAAAGCCACAGAGAAGCTAAAGTTTCAATGGCTGGGGTTCTTAAATGTGCCCCCCTGTAAGCTCAGTGAAGACTTGGCTTTTGTGCTGCAGGCCTGTGTGTTCAGTCTATAAAGTCTCTAGGCCTCACGGATGGTCCTTGAGTATCTGCTAAAGGAGCAAACACTCCAACATCAGGGAATTACGTAGTTTCAAGCTTTAAGTTGTCTCTCCATAAAGAGCATGTTATTTTATTTTATTTTATTTTATATCACAGTGAGTTGGCGGTCCTGCCAGCTGCTAGGATGACAGCTGAAGGGAGAGCTCAATGGTTCTCTTTCCATTTATAGATGTCATTAAAGCTTTTAACGCGCTGGACAAAGCTAACAGCTGCTCCTCTTCTTTAAACAAGAAATGATTCATTTCTCTCCACGCGTAACACCTAACATTTGAAAAGATCAGTGAGTCAGGTGTAAGCACCAGGGTATGACATCTGAGGTGAGTCCTTGCTTGTGGACCATTTTTAGTCCGGTTTGCTTGGACAGCAGTGAACGATGTTTACGGAAGCGTTTTACTTGTGATCTCTAAATACTGGATACTATGACTCCCTTTGGTCCTTTAAGTATGTAGAAATCATTTTCCATTTAGAAGAACAAACACATATGTAGCATTTTTTCACCAATTTTTAATGAATCAGGGAAGCACTAGGTTGTAATGTATGTTTGTCTATGATTTTATATATATATATATTATTGCATCTTATTTTAAAACTCTTTATGTGCTCATTTCTTTCTCAGTAGTGAGAAAGCTGCTATTGGCTAGCTACAATCATTTGTTAAAAGATTCCATAAATTTTCTTTAGACTGTCACCGTATCCAAAACTGAATGATGTCAGTGAGGTCCAAAAAACATCATCTGAGAAATGTTCAAAGGCGTCTCATTGAATACAAACAAGGAGATGGTCAATAAACGAACAAAACAATTTATGAACGAACAATTTCCTTACAAACCAAATAACTTCTTGTTGAAACCATCATACCATTATTTACAGATTAGCATTCTTTAGAAATATACACAATAGTTAAAAAGATTAGTTTTTACAAAAATGAACCCCTAAAAATGATGTGTTTAAGAACTGTGACTTGGGAGGCTTCAGGCAGATCTTTGTGAGTTCTGGAACAGCCAGAGCTGCATAGTAAGGCCCTGTCTCAAAAACAAACAAACCAACAGAATTGTATTTGTATTAGAGTTTTATATTTAGAGTCCTGTGGTAATAAACACGATTTCTAGTCAAGAAGTATTTGATTATTTCTTAAGAATGATTTTTTTAAAAATAATACTGTCAAAACATTAAGTGGTACTAAATAAAAAACTTTATTAAATCCAACATGATATAGTCACTTAATATCTGTAAATTGCTATTTTACAAGCATTAGGTACAATATAAACATTTACAATCCAGGTACATTTCAATTACAATTTTGAATATATCTTTTAGAAAACTGGCAGTTTTCTAAAATCCAGGAGTTTTTCCTTAATTATTAAAAACTTTTCATAAAATATAAAATATAAAAGCTATAAATATAAAAACTATTCCATGCCTAGAGCAGGAAAGTGGTATCTTTTAATCTTGAGACATATTTAAATAGAAATCCAGTTCAACTCAGGCTCAACTCATTACTTCCCAAAGTCCCTGCAGTGTGAATCCATCCTTCAGTTTCTCTATTGCAAGCCCCAGTTCTTCTGAAAATACAGGTTCACGGTCTTGTTGCTTTGGGGAAGGTAAAAAGATGAGGTGGGAATGGAAGGCGGGCAAAGAAGAGGAAAAACAAAAAGTGTTTCACTAAGTTAGTGAATGCTAAATGCTGTAATATTGAAACTCAAAAAAAAAAATAAAACAACAAGAAACTAAAGGTAAAATGTCCTTACCTTATTTCCATCAGCAAAATAAGCCTATAAAAGAAAGAAAATAATATTTTACATGCTTCATACAAAATAAAACAGGGGTCTAAAGAACAGGCAGTTAATTTTCAGAAAGATTTAATAACTAAGTATATTTCACATTTGGTTACTGGGCAGTTGATA